TGTGTGTGTGTGTGTGTGTGTGTGTGTGTGTGTGTGTGTGTGTGTATATATATATATATGTGTGTGTGAATTTACCATCAATAAGTTAATTCACTCTTGTTTCTTTAAAGTTTCCACCTAAAGAGTGGCAAAAAATGCTGCACTGATCCTGCTCTGGACTGGGTGATGGACTATGTCAACCGCATCAGGTGAGATTCTTCAGGAGTAAAAAAATAAATAAATAAAACTCTGATATTGCAAACATAAAGAAAGAAAAACAACAAATTATTGATCTGCTCTTGTTACAGATACGAAGCCCAGAAAGTTCATCAGAACGCTCAGTCTCCCATCAAGAAGCACTGATGTGAATTTTCTCAGGTTTATCGTGTTTCACAGGAGCATCTTCCTGTTATGTAATATAATGAAGATCAGTTTGAAAAGCTCACGGCTGATATATTAATTTAAAACTTATTAAATAACGATGTTACCGGCTCAGTTTTAAGAGCACTGTCAATATTATTTTTCTATGAAATACTTTGTTGTTAAATTTAACCCTATTAAAGCTTTTTTAAGAAAAAAAATCATCTGTTTTGTGAGTTTGTTTTATGCAAGATATGGTGTGAAAGTTTTACATAACACTTAAGTTTCTTATTCTTCTACGGAGCCAGACTTTTTGAAGAATTTTCAAAGTTTTTGTTTGGGCATCTTCTCAAAGCAACCTTTCATAAAAARCATAATTTCATCTCACTTTTTTGATCTCATTCTACAAAAAGTAGCAACAGCAGCTCAGCTTAACTAAAACTAAGCTTTTGAGCACGAACAAGGTGGTTCTAAACCTGAAACACATGAGATGTTTGTTTTATGTGTTTCACTTAATTTTGCATCTCACCTCCAAATCAAATTCTAGTGAACCGGTAAGTTGCTGGCTGAGATATGGAAGTTTTTATTGTGCAAAACTTTTAGTTAATTTGAATTGAACTTAAAATGAAAACTGATCAAGTCTGCGTAACTTTGGACTGAATGGGAGTGATTTTTTTTAAGAAATCAAGAACAAGGGTAGTAAAATCACAAGTTTGCACCCAAAAAAAAAAAAGAAAGAAACCCTGTGCCATGTCTGTATTAGGGACAATATACATTGAGCTTTTATATAAAGCTTTATGCTGTATCTAAAGCTCCAGACATCAGTGACTCAGTTGGAAGAGCTGTTGCCTCTCAGCAAAGTTGCAGGTTCAAATACTCGGCCCGGGACCTTGCTGGGTARAGTTTGCATGTTTTCTCCGTGCATGTAATGGTTTTCTCAAAATATGAATGTTAGGCTAATTGGTCATTTAAATTGTCCCTATGGTGTGAGTGAGACAATGAGTGGTTGTTTGTCTGTATGTGTCCCTGTGATGGACGGCTCTGTGATGTCCGGGTGTACCCCGCCCCTCGCACAGTGACGGCTGGCTATGGGCACCAGTGACCCTGAAAGGAAGAAGCGGGTTAAGATAATGGATAGATGGATCCACACGTGCACACTTATTGACTTTCCACACTTACTTTTGCTCTTTGTTACAGAAATATGCAATAATCTCTACTAATCCTCTCCAATTAACATATAAATTGCAAATCGAAGCCATCTGCTGTGGCTGACTGCTTAGTGAAGTTGTTCTGGTTCARTCCTCTGTTTCATCTGGTCCCAATYGTGTCTGTGGGAAAGACACAACCGGTGCATGGCAGCCCCCTTTTCTGTCAGYGTGGCCGTGGACAGCTGTGGCTACAGTGTAGCTTACCACCATCAGTGTGTTAATGACTGAAGTGTGAAGGGCTTTGGAGTCCGTTGGGACTTGATAATGAGAGAAGTTCAAACCATTTACCATCAGCTCCTCAGTGCAGACTGCTTCAGTCTAATCAGGATCATTATGTTAACATGATGTCAMAATGCCTGTCAGTAAAATCACCTTTGCCTCTCAGAAAGGTGAGAAAAATTATGACTAAGATGAGACAAAAAGTCTGTGTCAGTCCTAAAGGGGGTTTTGATGAGCAAACACAAACAAAAAGGAAGAAACAACAAAAGTGGCCAACGTCTGATGGGGGAGTTGTGGGGTTTGAGTTCACAATGAAACATGTTGCAGTTTATTTACGGTTTGTTGCGTTTTCTCGCCTCTAAATCTGATCTTCACATCTTGTCGCTGAAATAACTGCATGTTTTGCTTGTTTTTTTCAAGTCACCACTTGACAGCCACAGGTTTGTCACACGGTGCTGAAACTATACATCGGTTGATTTGTAAAAGGGTGTAAATAATCMGTCTTTTCAAATCTCTCTAAAAACACAAACAAAACAAAACCAAAAAATTACCAGTGCACAGAGATATAAGTGTTCAGTCACACGTGAATTAATTGGTTTGTTTCCAAAAATAAACATTTCCTCCAAACCATAAAAGTAAAATGTCCCTTGAGGGCCAACAGTAGATGTTAGATTAATTTCTTCTAGGTACTGAAATAAAAACAAACATTTTCAATCCTGAGGCAAATGAAGTTTATTTACTTGTTTCTGATAAAGAAAGCTGCAAATGTTCCAATGAAAAAAAAAGAGGTAAAAAGCAAATTCTAAGTGTTAGAGATCTGAAGGTGAATCTAACTGTTTTACTCATGAGGAAAGTTGATCCGGAGTGATTACTGCAAACCTGACATGCAGGAAATGATCAACTCTGGTGATGCAACGCTCAGGTTAGGTCAGAGGCCAGAGTTTGTTTTTGTTGCATGAAGACAAGACTTTATTGTTATTCTGTTACTGATACTTTTTTAAAAAATCTTCTTTTGTTCTTAATCTATTCACTTTTCCAGTCTTTCAAGCTCACGCTGAACAATACGCTGCCATGGTCAGGAAAAACAATGGGACTGAAACAGTAGAAAAACCTGAACAGATATTGACCAAGACGTCTTATAATAATGCAAAAAACAAAAAGAGCTGCGTTTTTTTATAGTGGCGGTTTTAAAAGTTTAATCTTTTGCACAGCGATTAAATTGAACAAATGATTGTCGCCTTTCTGCTTTAGCAGAAAGCAGCTTAAGGAACGTGCTTACTGGTAGAAGTGCTTCCTTATTGACTTCCTGTCATAAAATTCCACCCCTGGGGATTTTGCATCATGTGGCCAAACCAGATTTAAAAAAAAAAAACCGAGCTTTGAAAACCTGGCCTGCATTATCTTGGAGAACTTGTTGTAGAAAACGTTTCAGTGACGAAACAGAACTGGCATTTCCACTTTGAGACAAAAGCTGCTGGATCAACGTTCAGATAAGCTGCAGACATTTAGGAAGTTGTTTTACAGAAGTTCACAGTTTAGATATGGAGTGTTTTATTAACGGGGTTTTTTTACTAATTTTTTTTTATCTCAATCTCACGTGTTCTAACACGTTGTTCTTGATTCAACATATCTTTTAATCTGCAGCACAGTCAGCGATAAAACGTGGAAATTTCTTAAATACACGTAGACGTACGCTGAAAATATGTATTTTTTGTGCTAGCGTTAATAAATTACTTGTTAGGACTTAATCAAGAACTGTTTTAAAGTTTTTCARTAGTTCCAACTATGTTTTTTATATACATGTGTGTAAAATCTGTGTCTGTTAGCAAAACATCTCATGAACCGCAGGACAAATTTTAACAAAACTTGCCTGAGGTAATTGTTGAAGGTACATCAACAAGTGATTAACTTATGATGACAGTTCAACTCATGAAGGCTGCCACCTCACTTGAAAAAACACAAATATGGTTATAATTTAGCCATTTTTACAGATATTGACATATATGTGGTAGTAGCTGAGACTGATTACCAAACACGGACCTTAACCACAAAAAAAAAAAAAAAGGCTGCAAGATTAAAATGAATCTTTGCTCTGAGTTGTTTATTATCCTGTCAGTTTGCTGGAAGACTCAGAAACGTGATTAGAGACGGTGTRAGTGAGTCCATGTGGCCATGATGGAAGAAAAAAAAGGTGGATGATGAAACGACAGCATGAAAGGAAATGAGAGAGAGAACTCCCTCTGCTGTCAAACAGAAACAGCTCTGCAACATCTAAACTGATTCTGATCATGATGAACAAAAACTAAATCAGTAAACATCAAATACTGACCTCACTGAACACAAGTATTTTAAGACCACATGCGTACATAAAGTAGGGCTACTCAACCGGTGGTCCACGAGCCTCTTTTGACCTGCAAGTGATTTCAGTCTGGTTGTTTTTTGAGTTCAGAAAATAAGTTTATTATTATTGTATTTTTTTTTTTTACTTCAATGACAAATAAATGGTAAACGGACTGTACTTATGTAGTTCCTTTCTTTGCAGTCTGTGCCCTCACTCACACACTCTACTACATGTTTCTACAAAGTTGATCTAAATCATTATAATCAGTGCTGAAATCCAGCGGTTTATATAACTAAGTACATTTACTTTGTTACAGTATTTAAGTAGTTTTTTGAGGATTTGTAATTTTACCAGTTATTTTTTTTAAATAGCTACTTTTACTTACATTTCAAAGCTATAATTTATACTTTTACTTCTTTACTTTAAAATGTAACACCTAGTGACTCGTTACAAAATTAAATATGTTCAAACTCATCATGAAAGAAGATGTTTCTGCACTCTAAAAAAATGAAATGTTGAATTTACTCAACAAAGTCATGTCAACTGGCTCCACTAAGACTAGTCGAGTAAAATGAGCAAATACCTGGCTTAGTGGAACCAGTTTGGTTCAGTTTATTTCTTGGAGATAGAGTGTGTGTGTGTGTGTGTGTGTGTGTGTGTGTGTGTGTGTGTGTGTGTGT